ATGGAACCTACTTCCCACCTCAGGTCATATTGAGGAGGGTCGCGCTAAAGAGCTGCCAGACTCAAGACTCCTGATCGTCTCTTTCTGGAGCAAACTTGATTTTGATCCAACGCTGAAAGGTGTGAAATTTGAAGGCGCTACCTATTCTTGATTTCCTCGTGTAATTTGATGCCCAGGTGGCCGACTCCTTGCCAGTGCTCCAGAGTGTCCACACATGCCCTCTTTACCATCATGGTCGTTGAGACCACCCGTGACGTGCTTGCATCACATGGTGCGCTGTCGCAAAAACTATGGTAATTTTCGGGCCAAGCCTTCAGAACCCACTTTGACTCATACTTGAGACGCTTCAAGCTTCAGTCCTTAGGATTTCGCCCTTATTCCATGAGAAGGGGCGGGGCAACTTGGTTGCTACAATCCACCGGCTCCATGGAAATTGCCCTGCTGAAGGGCTGGTCCAGCCACCGAGTGGCAGGATCTACATCGCCGATGGTTTGTCGAAGTTACCAGACCTTGTTCTCCCCTCTTCCACAAAGCACCTCCTATCAGCATGGGATCCACGTCGTCTAAACGACGCAAAGGGGGTCCGTGGAAAGGCCGTTGAGAAGACGCTTTTTCGAGCATCTGCATGGGTGCTGAAGATACAAAAATAAGCAAAAGATTCCATTTGAATGGGTGGAATAAGCTGTCTGCATGGGCAGCATCAGTGTACAAGCCCGGATGAGGCAGAAGCCTAGCAAAGGCTTGTGATTCGGAAAAAAGGAACACTTCACAGGACTTTAGAACGCCCACTCCAGTTGTGGAAAAGAGGTGAATCCTAAACTAAATAACTTTATTGTAGTAAACAATATAAAAATACATATATATATATACCCGAGAAGTCCAAAGACTATGTTTTGAACGGCTGAAGTAAAGGAAGTTCCCTTTCAGGTCCCCAATCTTGAATTCAACTTTAAAGGATTAAGAAAAATCACGAAGACTTGCCAACTGCTTTTTCACACCCCACCCAAAAGGCTCATTGGACCGTCACAATTCTAAGGTTTTGAGCCGAAACAATTTTGGCACTTGGTCCGGGTCCAGAGTCGCCCAGATGGGCATATCACCAAACACTCAGGCCAGCAAAACCGCTGATTTGCAGCTTTGCTGTCACACACTGGTCCCCCATAACAAACCGTTCGTTTTTGCGTGTCCTTGGTGGCTTGGATCCTCGATCCTCTTTGTGGAAAAGCGACAGGACACACCGGTGCTGTACGACTCGGATGTCACGGATCTCACCTGGGATCTCTTCCAGGCGCCCATCAGCTGGGCCGGCGGAGCCTTCGGCAAGCCTCGCCCAGCTCTTCCTTGTGCTTGAGGGTTCAGGATGCCTTCAATCGGATGGTTCAGGATGGGAATCATGGGGAAACAGTTCAATTGTTCTTTTGCTCTTCACTTTATTTGAAGGTTGAGGTGTTTTTAAAGGGATTCTTGAGGTTGATGGCTAGGTCACACACGCGTTTCTCGCGATGGCACGGCTAGGTCGTGCCGCCCCCGGCTTGGGTCGTTGTGGACGTTGATCCAGACCGGTCCAAGAGCATCCGAAGTGTCCTGCTGTCGGCGGCACTGACCCTTCGAACTGGAAGTACGTAGTCACTCACCTCCATCCAAGACGCTCCCAAGTGCGGAGGTACCTGGACCCGAAAAGAGAGAAGCAAACACGGAATCAGCACCGCTGTGTGTGGGACCCACCGTGGCATCGATCCCGCCTTCGTTCCCCGGCACCGCTCCGCAGCCCGGTGCGGAGCCGCCGGTGCTTCCGCCCCGCAAGGCCGTGGCCGGGCCGATGAAGGGCGAAGAGGCGCTTTCTGGAGCGGCGGCGTGAGGGGAGGGGAGGGGTGGAGTTGGGAGATGTGGCTGCCAAGTTTGGGGATGTGCATTATATGTGTTTCTTTGGTTTTTCAAGAGGTTGGTGATGTAGGCGGAGCAATGGAGGATATTTCAACCTCTCCATAGGAAGGAGGTGTCTACCATCCATTGACTGTTGATGTGTCAACCTCCCCGGTTGAACTGTGAAGAAGTTTTTACCATCCAATCTCTGAGAGTCCAGGAGGAGTAGCTCATTGTCGTCAAGTCACGAAAGTTCTGGGCTAAGTCTAAAATCACCAGAGGTGTTTGTGGACTACGTTCCTTCAATCGACCCATGAACCAATAGGCCAACAAACCAGCTTCTCATGAGGACCAAGCAGCAGTTGCCAGTTCGCCAAGCAGCACTACCAGAACTGGACTCTCAAGGGTAGACGGATCTCTTCCAATCTGCGTCTCCCCAGCGGTCGGTCTCCCCCGAGAGGCCACCCTGGCGTTGGACCGTGACGGCGTGCAGAGCGTCCTCAGCAACACCACGGTGGGGAGCGCGAGGGTTTTTGGAGAGAAGAAGCCGAGAAAACAGTGGTACATAAGCAAAACTCAAACACAACTGGAGTGAGTTGTGAGTTGTGTTCTGGGCGACCTAACCTCTCTGTGTGAAAAAACCCTCTCGCACGGTTTTGGAGAGAGGTCGATCTATCGATGGCAGGATACGTCGGGATGGGCGACCTTCGGTCCAGATGATTGGCCGGGTACACTCCAAACGAACATGGTTACGTGGAGTTCACCACCACCACCCTGTTTGGTCCGTGGATTTCATGGATGGTCTTCCGAACTGGCCATTCTCCACTTCCATGTTAGTGCCAGGGAGTGTACATCCATCCAAACCATTTCTGCCACCTCGAGCTGGGAAAGACAAAGGGAGAGAGAGAGAGAGAAGAGAAAAAGAAAAAGTTTCGCTACGGCCAAGTCTTTTCTAAGAAGACGACTTTTCCGGGTTTTGCGGAGGAAGGTCTGAGTCGGGTGTCGGGTGTCTTACGGGGTCGGTGTTTGAGACAGTTCTCTCTCTCTCTCTCTCTCGGTGCATTTTTCAGGAAGTTGGATCAAGTCCGCGTTCATCATCCGCATGCACTCCACGATCGTTCCTGCACATAAACACCAAAAGCTTGACATGTAGGGTCCATCCGCTTCGGAATCACCTCTTTACATCTCGGAATCACCGGGAGCGACCGGCGTCCTCTTGGCACCTCAGAGCCCCAGGTGAATCTGTTGAAGCAGGAGCTTCCAATCGGCGTGGTACCCGAGGCACGCGGCATGCACCGTGAAGTCAAAGGGAAGAACACAATCTACACGCGACTAGTAGCAAGGTGCATTGCTATTAGTAGCTAATTTGCTACAAGTGTTCCAGAGTCGGTGCCCAAATCGAGTCTGAACAAACCAGCATTGCAGGTGCTGACTGGTTGCGAGAGACTGACTCATGGTGGCTGGCGTTCTGCTGGCTAGATGGGTCGGATGTTCAACGTTCGTTAGACTCGCCACACCATGCCACACCTAGGTCAATTGACTAAGTGGTTCGTTTGGGCACCGTTCGGGTAGAGGCGTGTTGCCTCAAAACACCGGGAAAAGGGTTCGTTCTTCGTTGCGCCCAATTCATGGTGCAGGCCTTTTTGCCTGTGGCGGAATGGCCAACGCTCGTGCAGAGGCAAGAGGTGTTGGCGGCATTTGAGCCACTGGAAACAGGGTTTGAGCCACATTCCAGCACCACCCAGTTCAGGTCTGTTATGGGCATCGTTTTCTGAAGTCCCCTCTGAAGATGTATTTTTGCCATCCAATCACCACCCTTTCTTTGGGTGCTGGTGGTTTTTTTAACGAAATCTGAGCAATTACGAAAAGCTGTTCAACTGGAGTCCTGCATCGTCCGAAGGCGACAAGAGCTGGTGAACAAGATCAACTGTCCGGGCGTCGAGATGTGACCATTGGACCCGGACTGACGTCGGGGAGCACCGGTGCCGGAGGGCGAGTCCAAGTTGGTTGAGACAGGTTACAGGTGGTTTCGAAGTATATCTGCAGTGCACAGTATTGAGGTGGTGGTCACAGAGCACTGATTGAGACCTGTCTCAGGCTGAAGTCAAGCTGTAGAGTCAGGTGGGTAAGGCACGGGGTCTTCTTTCAAGACGAGATCTCGTGTGGGACTGGATCATCATGATCTCCTCGCCGCTTCGCCGACTCTGTGCGACGACTCTGTGTAAGAAGTGGTTGGTTGACTCAAGCAGGAACCCTGATTGTGGGACAGATGGATCACTGCTTGAAACTGTTCCAGATGCATCCACATCCAGATCCACATGCGACCCCTCCAACTCCGTTCGGGTTTGAGGCCGAACATCCAGCGAGAGAAGTCGTCTCGCACGAGCCGACGTCCGGTCGCGTGGATCCCCTGATGTCTTGGGGTCCAAGGTGAAGTGAAAGCCACGGACTCAGAGGGAACAGGAGCAGGTGGAGAGGGGGGTAGTATCGCGGCGGGCGGGATGAAATTGTGTCGAGCTGTCCTGAGTGATGTTTTAGTGATGCTTTTGGGGGTTGGAAAGTCTTCTCCTAAAGACATGCTAGAGCCGGACCCTTGTGGCTAGAATGTTGAGGTCTAGACGCCTTCTTATATATAGGCTGGCGTTTTGGTTGGATTTCCACCCTCGGGTTCCTCTTGTGGCTAGCGTGAAACCGCGTGTTTGAAGACACCGTTTTGCTGTTCGCGAAGTGATGTGAAATTCAGCCTTCATCCAGCGTTCGAAGAAGGACGCTACGAACGGGGCTCCTGGCCTTACGAACCTGACTCCACGATCAAAAGGGAGTGACTAGTACTTATAGTGAACGAAAGGAAATGGACATACCAATTCTTGTTGGGTTCGCCCCAAAGCCCTGAAAGTCGACTGGAAAGGTGATGGTTGAAAAACGAGAGAAGTCGACTGGAAGCTTCTTTTGGCAGACCTTTCTCGGGTCGACTGGGCTTCGCTCTACCGAAGAAAGAACGCACCACTGCGTGGAGAGAGCAGAACGCTCGCAGCATTTGGCTTGATTGGGGAGGGGGGAAAATTCCACTCGTGTTTTTTTTTTTTCAGCACCGAGCCTCTGCGAGTGCCTCTGCGCTCTGCTTTGACCGCACCGAAATGGGCCTGCGGCAGTACGTGGAGATCGAGGGAGAGTCAGAGGGTGTCACTGGACCGAAGGAGTCGGATGGGACTGAAGAAGAACGACATGGTTGAGACACCGGTGGTGGTTTGGGATCTACCCAGGGACCGTAACCGTAACCAAGACATCGATCTGTTTGGTATTCTTGGGGAATCCCGCAATAGTGCGCAATCTCGCCCAGCAATCCTGCAGGTCCAGTCGTAAAACCTGGTCCATGACCTCATTTGAGTGGTGTTTTTGAAATGATCAGTTCCAGTCAATTGAGGTCTTTGACCGAAATCGATGGCCTTACCAAGCTGCGATTTCATCGGCGTGCGTCGGTTTAGGACCACGGTTGGGGAAGCTGGTTTCATCGGCCGAAAGAAAACGACGAGCGGCGGAGTACGGAGTCCATGTGTGGTGCCGGAGAAGACCAAGTCTACTGAGTCCCATTTGGGGCTTTCCCTCATGCACCTCGTAGCCACCAAAGCTGCTTAGTTCCATCCTCGAGGACGTCACGTTCTATCTCCAGAAAAGGGCAAGTGTCACCACCCAGCTTCACCACCCAGCTGACCCCCTCCGTCACCTCCGTCGGTTCACCACGGTTCGCCGGCCAAGGAGTACGTGACGCCGGCCAAGCGGCCACGCTTGAAGCTCCGCCTCTCCGAGCCCAAGGCGTGGCAGCAGTTTGGGGCCTTCATCCAAAGGCCTCATGTAGGGCTTCATCCACGCCCCCTAAGCACCATCCCAAACGTCTCCTGGAAACGGGAAGACTTGGCCACCACGCAGGAACTCGGAAACGGAGCGCCGCGAACCATCCGCAGGTGCCCAGGCCGTCGAACGCGGAGAACCCGCAAGACGCGGAGGCCAAGGGCGGACGCGCGAGGACGCTGATGGAGACGCCGAGCCGCCGCGAGGGGCTCTCCGAGGACGCAGGGAGTGGGTCGCGACTTGGGAGAGGGTCGAAAAGGAATCAGAAAACGGTGGGTTTCGTTGATGTTTCTAGATGGTTCGTGTAGAATGTGGGTTTGGGCTTCGCGGTGAAGAGTGTTTCTAGGTTGGTGGTGGAAACGCCATCAAAAATGCTGTTTTGTGCAACAGAAGAGGACTGATTGAGCAGCTGGGGTGAGTCATTGACTGGGATGATCTCCGGTTCCCGTTTCAGGTTCGTGTGATTGTTGGATCGGCGATGAACACCTGAAGAGTAAAGTGCTGAAGTTGGGGGGGTTCAACATCTGGTTGCTGGCGGCTCCAAGTACTGCAGCACCCACAGTACCCAAATGCAAGATAGAGTTGAACCATGAGCAGTTCAATTCTTTGAGTGAGGATGTCCCACGAAAAGAAATGAACATATCTCATCTACAGGATGTCCAACCAGTCTGAATCCCCATCTCCAACCCCTGCTTCATGCCTATTTCGCCCAGACCATGACAGCTAGACCAGCCATTTGGAGGCCCTCCCTGCTTGGTGGGTCCAAGTCCTGGAACAGGAGCAAGAGCGCCGCTTCCGCATGGCTGTGTGCAAGAGCAGCGATGAAGTCCTCGGCGCCTTGCTTTGTGGCTTGGAGCAGGAGGATGCGCTGGCACTGAAGCGATCGGAGGTGCAGAGAGCACAAATCCATGCCTACCACGCAGCGCCTTGGACATGTTCGTGTGTCGTTGAGTTGGACATGACGGACCACTTCGTCGCTCGGGACATGGGGGGAATGAGGCAACGTTCGAAGACCCCGCGCAAGACGGCGTGTTTGGAGGGCGACTCTGGGCCATTCGTGTTGCGAAACAATCCTCTGCCTACGACACCGGCAGCAACAGTTGGGTGTACCCCACCAGTAACAGGTGGGTATAAAGGATGCTCACGGTTTGGGGTGCAAAGGATCTGCGTTCGCCTGTGTGTTTGTGGCGTTTCAACCAGGTCGCCAGGCCTCTCCATCGAAGAACCAGCCGACCTGACCGAGCCACCACGCCGATCGCTGCGAATCGCTCAGCTGGCGCCGTCCGCGTCCGCAGCTTCAAGGTGCAGCTCTACTTCACCATGAAATCCTTCCAAAGCAGCAACATCGAAGCGGCCACTCTCTTGGCCGCCTGGAAGGCCGTGAAGGCGCGGGTGCCGGGAGCGCGCGGAATCCGGCGACAGGCGGGTCATTGGTTCCGACCTATCCGTGTGTTCAGTGTATCAGCCCGTGTTGAGGCGAAGTAACCCGTTTTTCCCGTCGGTGTGGGTCCCCTTTGCCCCGAGAAGGTCGTTCCAGAATCTCGGATGAAATGGGGTGTCGAACACCCCGTCCCGCCTGCCGGTGTCTTCCGGGTGTTCGACGGGTTTCACAGCAAAGCTGAGTTCTTTCCTTGTCAAACACTTCCTGAAACACTCATGGATGATCATGGATGGCATGACCCCTTGAATACACCATGTTCCTCTAGTAAATATAGGGGCGGGATGATCTACTTCCGATCATGCCTCGGAACTCTAACCCAGATTTAAGGAACCAGCATACCTAGATCTTCCAACTGTGCAACTTTCATCCCTTGTCCAACTGTCCAATTGATGAAAAGGCAGAAAGTCTGCACAGTTGGAAGATCCAGGTATGACCTCATTGTTTCATTTGCCTACAGAACTGCCAAATGCTCGGCCCTGCACAAGACGGCCGCGCTTTTTGTCGCCAGGACACGAGGATCCTGGTTTCTGCCGAGCGCTTCGTTCAGGCGAATCGATGGCCCGGAGGGCGCATCTCTGATCGATTTCGAAAACAGCGAAAGCAGCGAAAACAAGGAAGACTGGGATCCCTGCAACCTGCAACCCTCCAACTCCAAACCGCACCATGCGGGTTCACTGCGCATTTTCCCCCAGAATACACACCATGGAATGAACTACTGCAAATGATCTCTTTTCGCAAAGAAACTCGTAATCTCGTGCCGTCCTCTCCAGTGATGTACAAACCTTGAATCCACACACCTGTGGTAACCTCCGAGAAGAAAAACAGGAAAACCCACCGTCACCGGTGTCCGGCACACATGACACATGTTCTCCCTCAAGGTGGAGATGGTGAGGTTCTTCAGTGCGGTTGGCGTCTCTGGGTCTTTCCCCCATAGCATTGGCGCTTGAGTGTTCAGCCCAGATCCTGTGAGGTGCTACAAGAACAAGAAGTGGCTCTGGAGGCAGTGCCTCAGGGAACCCGTTCGGGGGCATCGAAGTGGTGTTCTTGTGTGCGTGTGGCGCGCGTGGCAGAGAGAGTCAGAGAGAGAGAGAGAGAAAAAGAGAGAGAGAGAGAGAGAGAAAGAGAGAGAGAGAGAGAAAGAGAGAGAGAGAGAGAGTCAGAGAGAGGGGGAGAGAGAGTTTGTGCTACTGAACGGTTTTTTCGAGGATGCTCAACAGGAGATGTCCCATGCCACAATTCTACCAGAATGCCCGGCGGACCTCTCCAATAACCTCAGACACAGTGGGTAGTTAGGGCTTGTTGTTTCGTCAATAACCTCAGACAATGAATAAAACCACGCTAAACCCCTATGATGAGGCTCAACCTACAGGCCTCCTCCAAACTTTGAGGTCTTTCGTGTTCAGTTTCAGAGATCCTGTGTAGCGATGAGTTGATGATCAGGCCGAAGTCCATATTTGAGGAGGGAGCAGGGAGAAGAGTCTCGATGTATTTGGCAGAGCATCTTCCTCCTCTGGCCTTGACAGCACGACATCCTCATGCGAGGAGCTATGGCAATCTACAAATCGTCAGAGAAGGCCTCGCAAAGTTACGCCAACCAATACCTAAAATCCACCAACCACAGCCCAGATTGCAAACGTCGAACCTCCTTTGGCTCGCGTGTTCCTCGGCTGCCTCCAAGTGCTTGCCTTTTTCAAGCCTATCATCTTTATTATGCTTTATGCTGTGTGAAGCACAGGCAAGAAAAGAGCTGTAGTGCTGAGAACTTATGTCTTGTGAACTGCAGAAAAGCATGATGAAAATAAGTCACAAGGACAAGCACAAAGGTGCGTACCTTATGAGACCAGACACGATCAGATACGTGGCAATGGGTGGAGCTGACAAAGTCGGTAAAAAGGTGAACGAGAAGAACCCGCTCCCCAAACCTGCAGACCTTTCGAAAAGAACTGCGTTTCCTCAGCATGTCTCCACGTTTTGGTGAAGACTCTCAAGCTGTATAGTTGCATGTGTGTGTGTGTGTGCGTCGTTCCGCTGGTTTGCTGGCACTTGCGACCTGTGAATCAAAGCTGGTGTTGCCTTTGCTCCCATCCCACATGACGCGCAGCGCTATTCTCAGTTTGCACTATTCTCAGTGGAGTAGCTCAAAGAAATGTCAGAACCCAATGATGGTGGAGATTCTGAAGAGCTAGAGAGGAATGCCCCTGTGTCACTTGTTGGAGAAGGTGGTCTTAGACCAGCCTCACAGAGACTCCGACCGTCCGACCAGCAGGGCCCGGCTTTCCACACGGACTTGTGAACGCAGGCGTTCCACGGTTTGCGCAGTGAATCGAAATCCGCGAGATTTGTTGGGATGGATGAGGTGCATGCCCAGCTGCAGGTTGCATAAACACCGTCATCACCAGGCCGTTTGGAAAAGAGTTGTTTCGTCTTTGGACGGTTTTTTCGGTTGCAACATGTCGGTCATTAGAACTTTGCAAGTTGACGTTCTGCTGTGGCAAACAAGCGAAATCTTCCTTTGAGGCCCGCGAACAAACCAACACAAAGTATAAGAATGTTAACGACATCAAGGCTTTCGTAGTAACAGGTGCCTTACTAGTAGTAACAAGGTTCACTAGTAGTAACAAGTGCCACGCTAGTAGTAACAGGTGCCTTACTTAGTAGTAACAAATTAGAATTACATGGACTGTTGATGGGATGTGCTTATGTACAAATTCGAATGTTAACGACATCAAGGCTTTCGTGCCCGATGGGCTCTGCGCGATGGGTTCTGCTCATTGGCCGCTCACTTGGCCTGTTCTAGTTCCTGCCTCTTCGTTGCTCCTGAAGACTTGCACACTGGTTTGTGAACATCTGCTTAGAACTCCGTGCACAAGGACATGCAGTTTGTCAAGTAAGATGGTATCTCGCCCTCAAACAGGCAAAGCCAAGCGCACTGGCACACAAATCCTGCATGGGCAATGGAACTTGTTGAATAAGCACATCCCATCAACGGTCCATTTAATTCTAATTTGTTACTACTAAGTAAGGCACCTGTTACTACTAGCGTGGCACTTGTTACTACTAGCGAACATTATTACTACTAGTAAGGCACCTGTTACTACTCCCATCAACAGTCCATACAAAGACGTCGAGATCTCGAAAACCGGCTGCCGGACTTCACCTCGTCGCAAAGCGATGAGGTGACCACAAAAGTGTTGCCGAAAAAGGTACAGCGTGGAAGTTTGACGAGTTTAAACTGGAGGGTGCTGCCTGAGAATTGCAAAAATATCAAAGACCTGTAGAAACGCGTAACGCATCTGCATGTTTTGTTAAAGTAACCTCGACAAACCATAGCCAAAAGATACAGTGTTTTGACAGTTCTTCCGAAGACAAATCTTTTGAAAACCTAGAAAGACCAAAGAGTTTGTAACCACGCCATAGCCTTGTTTATCCCAGCCCTTCTTTTGTTTTTGGTTCCGCTTGCTTGGTACCACCCAGCTGGTATTTCCGTTCTCTGCCTAAGAGGCGCTTGGTCTTCACCCGACCCAGTGGCTCACGGAGGAGCGACACGCAGTGGCGAGGGACACGACAGCTGCCGCGTATGCGTTCAATCATCGCCTAGTTTGCAACCAACTTGACTCCATCCTTAACGTTCGCAGAGCGATGTTTGGATGCTACTCATGTGTGCCATGGTTTCGGCCAGTTTGATGGGACCCGACCTAGTACGACCTTCCAGCAAATCACGGACTCACTCGCGACGACAGAATGCAGTTGAGAAACGAGTTTCCAAGAAAACGTCTGGCCAGTAGAGTCTGTGTTGCCGGTCATGTGGTGTTTTCGTCATCCGCCGGGGCCTCGGACGATGCCCTACTTGTTTGGGGCGTCAGGAGGCCATGAACTTGGAGCGATGGGCCAACGGAGCTTCCATCTCCAGGTGTGTTATATGGGCTCAATGGTTCGAAAGCAGGAACAAGGACGCTACTAGGGGCTGCTGGCCATACTACTAGGAACAAGGACACTACTAGGAGCAAAGGGCATCGCTACTAGGAACAAGGACTCTACTAAGAGCCAAGTGACCGACGCAATTCAAACGGTTGGATCTTCTTTTTGAGAACTTGTGGGTAAGGCTCTTTCTGTGTCACGGCTGGCAGCCGGCCCAGCGTGTTTTGGATGTTTCTTTCAACTCATGGGTTTGGCACAGGGGCTGGATCTTCGGTCGTTTTGGTAGCACGAGCTCCGACGTGGGGAGTCCGCTGTTTTTCGGAACAAAACCGGTCGACACCCAACTCCAATTCCCGTCCCACTCCTCCATTCCGTGTACGTCGTGGCCTGGGCATTCCGTGAGAACTCAGCAACTCGAAGTATGTTGAGAACTTTGTTGAGAATTGATTGGAGAGATATGGAGAGATGTGTTTCATCCCCAAGAACTAACCCAAAAGAACCTGCAATCGCAAACACCTTCAAACACTGTTCCTGTTCGAGCAGGGGATGAGCACCATGACCCCACTGACAACTGATTCAATCAAACCAGCAGCACCCCGGAGACGGGTGGTTGTTGGATGGAGAATGCATCTTCAAGAAGAAAAACACCCAGCTCGCTGGGTGGTGCTGGGTTTTCACACAGACCTTCACTATGGACGATAGTGACGATCACCATGTGTTCGATCCGCCCTTCCTGGTGGAAGACCCCACGACTCTGCCCAAGGGCACCCGCTTCGGACGTCCGTGTGTTCCTGTTGGGAGCGGAGCGGACGGCGCGACGGAGCGGACGCCCAGATGCGTGGACCTCTCCTTGGTGGATGGCCTCGCCCAGCGATGGGTGCAGCGGCTGCAGCGAGACGAGGAGCGAGGTGACGAGGTGACGAGGTGAGTTGAAAGGATTGCACGAAACATGGACAAGATGGCCTCTAACCTAAGAGCCATGGCCCTCTAACCTACTAGCGATGGCCTCCAACCTAAGGGCCATGGCCTCCAAGCTCACTAGTTTGCAGAATGTTCATCCAGTTCAGTTGTTTTGGATTGAAAAGATAAGACTCATTATGACTCTATGAATCCTTTATATGACCTATGATGAATTGGGGTGGGCTCCATTGATTTGGGATCTTGATTTTAACTTTGGAGGTGTTCTTTCAACCTTGAACTCTTGACAAAACGAAACGCTTGTCGACCGCTCTCTTTTTAGTGGAAGATGCCATGGACTGACCTACTCCGCTTGGAGTTGCACTCGGAAAGGTACTCGGCTGCTTTCTGGGACTGCCCGAGGTGCAGACCCCAGCCCCACCATCCCCACCGACCACTCACACCTTCGGCTCGGCGTCCGAACTGGATGGGAACGGCGGCACGACGTCAGCTCGATCAGGCTCGAACTTCCGGGGCCGATCCCGAGCCGGATGTCTCCTACAGCGATGTCACGAGAAACGGATCGCCAGGAGCTGCACGGGGACGCAGTGCTGAAGCTCCGAGAGGCTGGTTTGAATCGAGAGCTCCAAGCAGCTGGACAGATCTACAGTATTCTCTTTGTTCCAATTTCTTTCCAGGGGATCTTTTGGGTGGGGTCTTCCTATCTGAATAGTATCAATCAAGTGTGGCAGAAAACCTGTCTTTGCACAGCAGATTGAAAGTGCTGTCGTGAGTTTGCTTGAACGCTTAGCTGGGCCACGGGCTGCTCCATAGGAAAGCAAAAAAGAGAAACATCAAATTGAACATCTCCACCGGAGTCCAGATGGCTATAGGTCAAAACCTGGTTGACTCCTGAAAATGGACAGATTCCTCTATAAGGGGTGTCAACCTACCATGGTTTGGTGAGGGAGGTGCCATGATTATAAATGCCAAATATGTGTGTGTGTGTGTTGGCTGGTCAAAGGACATGTGTTTTTTCTGCTTCACCTTCGGATGATCCGTGGTTTCTCTTTCTGCTTCTCCTTCGTGCAGACGGCGCGCACCTTGGTGGTGGAAGCCATGCTGGGCCCAGCGCCCTTGATGTTCCCGCCGCACAGAGCAAGTGGGGTTCGAACTGGGCTCGGCTCGGGTGGCCATCGCTTCTAGGGTGGAGGCCATGGCTACCAGGGTGGAAGATCATGTGTCCTGAAACCTCCATGGCATCAGGTCAGCGGTGGAAGGCGCAGGCTGAGCGGATTGGATGTCGTGGTATTTGGGCACCGATTGATCAAAGCCTTTGGGTGTGGCCACTGAGTTTCTGTCTCATCAAGGCATCAGTTTTTTCATCGGAAGTGTGTCTTTTCGTTGCGACGAAAGACCAAACCCTCGCGGAAGGTCTGAGGTCAGTTTGAACCTGGGACCTGGAAGGACTGGGGTTTGGTTTTTGCGGAATCGAAGAGCAAAACCTCTCAACCCAAGTGTGTTTGAGTGACTTCCATCTCCTGCATCTCCTGCAATTACCGTGGTGTGTGTTTTTTTCATGGAAAGGCCCCCTTTTTTCACAGCACCTTTAGATCAACAACCAGGGAACAACACGTTCCGCCGAGGGTCACTTCCATTCGGGAACCTTGCCACTGACTTTCAATTGCCCGTGTGTGTACGTACTGACCCTGTGGGTCAAACATGGGTAAAACGACAAAACGACCTTTTTCCCTACTCCTGCCGCGTCCAAAAGGAAAGGGACATCGTTGAAGATGCCCTCCGAAAAGGGATCTGGTCCGGACGTGCCACCGTCCCAGGCCTGTGACCCTGGCGGCGGCGGCCACCACGCTGGGGGTGTCCGGGCGTCCCGGGACATCGTCCGATGCGGAGCGCTAATCGGTCGTGACCCAGGGAGCGAGCGCAGAGCACCAGGTAGGAGAAGAAATGGCACCGGCCTGGTTTGGACGCTTCGTGTTGTTTCTTCCTTTTGTATCCCTTTTGTATCATGTGGTGAAGCGGTCCTTTGGTGCCTCTTCGGACATCGCCACGGCCTTTGTACACTCCCTGTGCGCAAGTGGCTCCTCCCAGGAAGCCTCCGGTTCGGTTCGGTTCGCGCGTTTCCGGTTCCAGGTAGAACCGGTTCCTTTCTCGTTTTCTGGGCCTCTTGAGGATTGAGAGAGCTACTACGCACCTTGAATGATAGTTTGTTGGGGTATAGGGCCAGTGTAGGATACTTCTGCATTGTGCATCTCAAGAAGATTTAAACAAGTGTTTCTTTTTCCGGGGGGCCTTGTCGCATGTCTCTTTGTCTTTACAGGACATGGAATACCTGAAACCCAGATGCAATACGCACCCCGGGCACCGCCCCGGCAACGCTGGTGTGCTGTGCGACAATCTTGGGTACCTGTCTCAGGATGAAGTCGCTGGATGCCTTGAAGGCACTATTGGAAGCGGAGGGCAAAGGGCAAGGATGGGCCCAAAGCTTTTGGTCACAGTCACAATCATTCCCACCCCAAGAATCCTTAGCCAATTTTGCGGCGGTTAGGGGTTTTGCATCGGTCACCTCGAATGTGCCATTGTGGCCTCCCTTCAGCCGTTGATGGCATGACTGGAAGGACTGGGGTTCGTGGACTGGTCCACGAAATCGTGGACCTGGATGACAAGGAGCAAGGACGCTACTAGGGGCTCCTGGCATCGCTACTAGGAGCAAGGACGTAGTAGGGGCTCCTGGCCTTACTAGCAGCAAGGACGCTACTAGTAGCAAAGGGCATCGCTACCTATCGCTACTAGGAGCTTGCTTCTTGTTTCCGTTCTTATTCTATCTCCATCCGTGTGGCAGGTCCACTCTCGTTCGAACGATGTCAAAAACACCCGCCGCCCTCGGCGGAGTAACCAGGCCAGCTCCGAAGAGATCAAGGGGAGGATCAAGAAGGAGCGATGTTTAGACTCTTGCTGAACAATACCTCCACATGAAGAAGTGCTTCAATTCCAAATGGAATGGTTTTTCCGATCAAGAGTCTACCTTAGCATGGAGTGGATGGGCTGCCTTTTTTTAAAGCTTGGAGGGCGAGCGAAGCCAAGTGAGCTTGCGAAGCCCGGATGCCGGATCGTCACATGCGAGTTCGATGACAACGTCGATGGCACCGTTTCCACGTTGACATGGTTTGAACATTTTTCTCATAACCCTCCTGTCATCCTAGTAGCGTCCTTGCTCCTAGTAGCTTCTTGTTCCTAGTAGCGATGCCTGGAGCCCCTAGTAGCGTCCTTGCTCCTAGTAAACCGTTTGTCGAACCAATCCTCTTTGCTACGAGAACCGTTTGGATTCTTTGGTTTTTGTGAAGAGTGTCATGCATCCGCATGCCCACTCCCGGTGACGGCAGACCCCTCGCATGAGGAGCAAACAGAAGAAGATCAGAAGGAGATGAGGCCGTTTGCAGCATTTGGAGCACTCAAGAGCACTGAACGGCACAACAGAACGGCACTGAGTGGCACCCATTTCCAACAAAAAGAACTTCGCAAAAAGTGGTTTGCTCCAAATTCGGCAACTCGACACTCGTTGAACGACATGCAAAACGCCCACCCAGACGTTCTTTTTGTGTAGACCGAGAGGCTGGCCATGCAAGAAGTGACCAGAACCATCAGGCACGCGCGCTTTCGCGTTTTCAGCTGTCGGTGACCCAAAGGGTGACGAAACAGAGGCGTTTTGAGTAGTAACAAGTGCCACGCTACTAGAAACAGGTGCCTTACTAGTAGTAACAAAGTTCGCTATTAGAAATAGATTTTAAGTTAATAGCTTCTTCTTTTAATTGCTTCTTCTTATAGCGAACCTTGTGACTACTAGTAAGGCACTTGTTACTACTAGTAGTAAGGCACCTGTTACTAATGAAGATGTTTCCAATAGAAAACAATAATAGAGGTTGTTACGTTGTAGTATTTCTATCCTTTTCATGGTATTTTTGCGCTCCAGAGTTGTGGCTTTCGCAATATGTGGCTCCATGTCTTCCGCAGAAAGACTCCCCCGGGTGGCGGTAGACACACGCCTGACCCGCTGCTGGATGGCTTGGGAAAGTCGAGAGCTCATACCTGATGGAGTCAATGTGGGTGGATGGTTTTGCTTGGAGGATTGGTTCTATTCTCAGGCGACAGCCACCGCGACGTCCGGGAGCACGAATCCGAAGGCAACGGCTTCCACGACCACGGTGGGTCACCTGGTGGCCACTCCGAATTTGGACTACGAGAAGCACCGCTTTCAGCTGAACCGGGAGAAGTTGGTCGGGCATGTGTGCAGCATTTTCGCTCTGACTGCCACGGAGGACCGGGAAGCGGCTCGGAGAGCGCACCAGTGGGTTCCTTGGAGTTGGGTGCCGAACGAAAGGAGTTGGGTGCCGTTCACACATCCACTCAACTTGACTTCAAGTCGACTGAAAGCACCCCCCTTCTGACATCTGGTTAGATGTCTCCAAAGTTGTTACAAACGCCGGGTGATGTGGCTTTTCTTTAAGGACAGACATCCAGGGTGTTTCTTGGTGTTTGTTTTTTTTCAGGAGGCTCGATTGCTTCGACCCTACTTCGGTTGCGAGTCCGACTTGATCAACCTCCTCCTGCAGAGCGGCCTCGGCGAAGAGCGCGTGCTGGAGCTCTTCTGGCAGCATCGCACGAGCTACGTGTCGCCCATCGACTTTGCTCGGATCCGTTCCTTGGTTCGAAGAGTTCCGCGCGCGCGACGGGTTTGGGCCGATGCGTCCGGGATTGGAAAAGTCCGGACTTCTCTTTTGCTAGGAGAAGTCCGTGATGCGTCCGGGTGGGTGATTTGGTTCGAAAAGACCGTGTTGACAGCTCCACCACTCACTTACTCCTCACCTACTCCTCACCTGCCTACTCCAGGTGCTTTGGGACTGAAGAAGATCCGATTGCCTCTCACCTGGTGCATCAATTACGACCAGCCTTATCGGATCAAAGGCAAGACCTTCGGAGGTCAAGATCAGGAGGTGCTCATCGGAACCGTGGCCGCGATCGTGAAGGACCCCTTCGAGAACGACCCCGCCTTCAATCCCAAGGGCATGGGCATCGCGAACGACCGATGGGTCTCCATTCCCATCCAAGTCGTTGAGCACGTGCTTGAGGTCAGCCTGCCCGAAATGGACAGAACAGGTGATCAATTCGTGATTTAAAAAACCGGTTGTGCCGTCATACATGGCTTAAACACTGACGTCCAAAGCATTTGCAATCCATCATATATAATGATATGGCTCACATGAGCCACTCGAAAGCAACTCCAACATCACACCCTGAAGTTCTATCCCATTTCTCATGTCACCCAGACTCAGATGCCCCGCGACCTCTACGTTCCCTCACCCGTCGAGGTGGCGGCTGACTTTGGACTCCAAGTGCTCCTGGACCTGCACGCCTTTCCCGGCGGCTCCAGCGCGGGGACCTTCAATGGCGTGTGGCCTTTGAACCCACGCTTCTGGACGGCGCATTGCTCGGAGAATTTCACCACCATCATGGTGCAGATCTTAAATTGGATGAATGGCTTGAGCAGCAAGAACCCCAAGGCCTTTAAGGGACTCTATGGTTTGACGCCCATGAATGAACCGGCTCATATGCGAGGCCTTTATGACACGTCCGGTGCTGCTGTGCCAGTTCCATACCAGGAAGCCTATGATGAGTTGGGTCTTCCCGGTTGGGCCAATGTCTCCACCCAGCAGATCCTGCAGACGCTGCAACTCAGCGTGGAGGAGTTTCGGAGGCGTCCGGCCCTGGCGTCGCAGGGCGTCCGGCTCCTGATGAACGTCATCGAGACCGCCTTCGCCGGGACCTTCGGCGGCACGGACGATGCCAAGGCCTTCGCGGCCAGTCAGACGGGCGAAGTGGGCTCCGTGACGGGGGCCCTGGGCGCCTGGTGGAAGGAGATCACCACGGAGTCTGAGCGGCAGACGTGGGCGGTGCTGGACCTGCACAACTACATTGCCTGGAACCCGGAAGTCAAGAACTTCGAAGAGATTGCCACCATGGAGGACTACAGGCGTTTGCTGAGTGAGATGAGTCTGCCATTCTTTCAACAACTCCGCAGTCGCTTGCAGATGCCGAAGCCGCAGCTCCTGGCGTGCTCCGAGTACAGCGCGAGTACCAATCAGGACACGCTGCTGTCGGTCACCAGCAGCGTGGGCCGACGCCCCAGGCGTTTGCCGTGGCGCGTCGGATGGCACACGCTGCGCGATGAGTTCTTACGTGGTCAACACCGGGCGGCGAAGGAGGAGAAGATCGACATGTGGTTCTGGACGTATCACATCCGAAAGAACCGGAACTACCAAGGAGAGGGGTCCTTACATGTCCATGCAACATATCCATTAGGTTGGAGGCCATTGCTTCTAAGTTGGAGGCCATTGCTACAATAAGGTTCAACACTTGCAGGAGAGTGGTCCTTACAACATGTCCTTTCGCCATGGCCACGGCTCCTCCAGAGCTTTGGACCTTTGTCCTTGCTCCGGTGTGTCGGCCATCTGAGCTGCACCTGTGGGTGGCTTTTGCTCTATGGGCTGCGAAGGCCCTGGAGCTTCATCTGCTGCGGTTTTGGCTGGCGATTCGTCTTCCGCGTTTGAAGACCACCGGTGCGGTGCCGCCGGCGCGTGCCCGCCCAGAGGGGTGCTCCGGTCAAAGTGGAGAACACTCAAAGACAGGAAAAGGCATGCCATTTGTACATACGGATTGCACTTCGTCATTGCTATCTTCATTGAATCGGTTTTGTGGCAGAATCGCTGCCCGGAATTCGACATGCAGGTGACAAAGAGTGTCGTTGCTTCGGTGCCCTCGTTGAGGCGTTTTGGGGCGACCCAAGGTGGTCCCGGTCGGCTGGTTGGAGCTGGGACACCGATGTCCACACCACCGAGGGCTCACCGTGGTCCCGGTCCCGTCTCGGGGTCCGAGGCTCATCGCAAATTGAAGAGCCTCAAGTTCTGGCGCATCGAGCTCTTGAAGTTGGAATGGGCGACTCCGCTGCAAGGATGAGTGAGGTTTCGTTTCGTTGCCCTCAAGCAACGAAACGAGCGAAAGGGATAAATTCATGGAAGAGAAGTAGTGGTTTCTATCAATTCGTGGAGGCTCTTTTGTGGAATGTGTGTGGGAAGGCCAAGACTATGCGGAACCACAGGCAGGGCCCTTCACCTTTGCTCATGGTCACGCAAGTTGTTGGAGCAGTAGCCTGACATGACCTGTTCTTCGTTGCGAAAAGAATTAGACAACACCAGAGAATTTAGGAGGTCAATGGTTTGGCAGAGATACGTCTTCAGCTATCGTTTACCAATGATACCGCTATGTTCCAAATGATACCGTGTGTTCGGTGGAAGCAAAAATGGATGTTCGTCGTCGACTCCAGACTCGACCAGAAGGTGTCGACCGATCGAAGGTGTTTCGATCAGTGTGGAAATGTTGGAGCGCCCAACCTGTTGGAAGGTGCGAAAGAAAGCCTATCTTTGTTTCTAATTATAATGCGTGTTTCTAATAGCTTCTTGCAACTAGTAAGGCACTTGTTGCGAACGAAGCGATGCACTTGTTCCTAGTAGCTCAAGAAACCCTATCTACCAGCACCCGACTTCACAGGTCACCACCCGCGACTTTTAAGTCTCCAAAAGCCACCAGAGAGACCTGTTGGAGGGTCCTGGTATAGTATACCTTATGTGCATTTATGTACTATAGATCTATAGTCGTCATCTTTTTGGGGGTCTTTCAGAGGGGGTCGAACTGGTCTTCTCCCTTTTCTTTCATTGGTCCATTGAGGATCCTTGGAGCGTCACCTGAGGCTCTTCCTCATCGCGCCGGATTCAGTCGGCGGGTTCTTCGCGGGGAGCCGAGCTGAGCCGAGCTGAGCGACGGGACGTGCGAAGCGCGGCGTCCACGATTCGGTGCGGGATTCGACGAGCTATGTGGGATAGCGCGTGTTCCGAAACATAGACACTCTTGGCACAGCCAGATGCCGCAGGCACATGGACAGATTTTCAGTTCATGCGGCAGCAACTCATCAAAGCTGGATTCTACATATTGCATGTCAGTTACTAGTCGCGTCCTTGCTCCTAGTAGCAATGCCAGGAGCCCCTAGTAGCTTCTTGTTTCTAGTAGCGATGCCAGGAGCTATTAGTAGCATCCTTGCCCCAATCAAGCTTGAAAAGGATTCTCATAAGACCAGAGGTCTTCAGGCTGCTTTGCCAGAGTGGATGTTCATAGACTGACCTTGACCTCGGTCAAGGGCTGTTCCGGTCATCTTCCGGCCGTGGAGATGGGTTCTGCGCAGACAGGTGAGACAGGGCTGTTCCGACAGCCGAAGAGCACCACTGTTCACTCGTTCACTGCATTTCACTGCTGTTGTTACTAGCGTGGCACTTGTTCCTAATGGCTTCTTTGTTACTACTAGTAAGGCACCTGTTACTACTAGCGTGGCACTTGTTTGTGTTTATTTCATGACTCCACCTTCGCTACTTCGTGATGGGGCTCCTTTGGAGAACAGCTTGGTGCTTCGTGATGGGTGAACCTTGATGAGGTCTTCGCCTGGTAAAAACGACCCCCAAGAAAGAACCATCCCCACCGGTCGTCCGTCTGACCGCTGCTCACCTCCGTGCTCGACACCTCGGTACGGGACGTGTCGGGTGGCTGGTCGAGTGCGAAGCTACCAATTGAACCAAGCTGGTAAGAGAAATCCACAAAACGCCTCACCTTTCGCGCAAGAGAAATCCACCCAGGCATGGCAACACCACGGCGTCCGCCCAACCTCTTGTTGAAGCCTGTACACCACGAGTCCGGCGCACCCGAAGACGACCACTCTCCACGGCCCGGAGCGGAGCGGCAGCCAGGCTGCCGAACTCCGAAACGCTGTGCTGTCCGGGCTGTGCGGCGGTGGGAGACCAGAGGTGTCTCCGTTTGAAACGACTTGACCGGTTTCCTGAAAAGTAATGATTTCTGCATGAGAATGAGCTTGAGGGGAGGCTGCACCGTGGACACATGCACACATGCAGGCAGTGACACTGTATTCCAAAGAGTTCCTAGGTCAGAAGCAGCATGTGGCCATTCCGATTAGGTTGGAGGCCATCGCTCTTAGGTTCATCGTGTGTCAAGGAGAATGCTGGGAGCTATGATTGTTGTGTCCCAGAGAAGCTGGACCTGGGATCGCATGGATCGCATGGATGTGAAATCTGACTGCCAAGGATGAAAGTGAATTTCCTGGGTTTACTCTCTCTTGTCCATCCCTCACCAAACGCTAATAACGGGAACAACTGAGAATGCTGTTCTCATTGTGCCTTGGCTGTCGTTTTCGGGACCACGATGCAGCCAGAATCGCTGGACCGCGAAATGGGAGATCTAGGGGCCTTAGATCACGCTGACGCCAGGAGGTCCCCAGTCTGTGGATCTTGAGAAAAGCATGTTTGCCAGAGTTTGCCACATGTTTTTTTGTTTTTTTCGGTGTTTTTTCCATGGCCTAGGCTGGGGACGACCTGGCTGTTTGTTTCCACAGGGAGCTCCCTGTGATTGGGGGGTGTGCATGCTCAAAACGCCGAGGGAAGGATGAATGGTGGAGCTGCATGGAAAAGAAGTGATGTGTGTGCAACCTGGGGGAGTTGAATTCCAGTCCGGTGGGGGCCAGGGATGGTCCGGTGGGTGTGTTCATCACTTTCGTCACCACAAGGAGGTTTTGCGACAGGAACCCAAGGCGAATAGATTGAAATAGATAGAAGCGGATTCTTGCAGCTTTCCTGAAGTTCTTCTGGCTGCATCCAGAAGGAGACTCGTCGTAGAAGGCCAGGGCCTCTTTAAGGTAGGAGGTTTGACCACTCCGACCTCCCGATCAAGGCGGGTGAACCCCAAATGGGACTTCCAGATCGATCACCTCAAAGTTTCAGCCCGTGAGCCCATCCTCTTTCATGTGAACGCATCGCTACTAGTAGCTTCTTGCTACTAGTCATGGCCTCCACCCTAGTAGCGATGGCCTCCAACCTACTGAGTTATTGGCTTCTTCCGCTCGGAACCCACGAACCCAGGCCGCGCGAGGAGTACGTCCGCTCGACCGAGGCCGAGAAGCAGCGCCGCGCAGACGCCCGCGAGCGCGAGCGGGAGCGGGAGCAGAAGAAGCGAGAGGAAGAAGCGGGACGAGCGGGACGAGCGGCATGGGATCCGGAGGGAAAGCGGTAGGAACAAGAGGACGCGAACCGAACGGGGCTCCTGGCCTTACGAACAAGAGGACGCTACGTTCGGAACAAAGGACATGTTGAATTGGTCTCAAGAGATTTGAAGACTGCCAAGAAAGTTTAAACATATCCTTCGTAAGAGAGCAGCACTGATGTTGTTTACTTGAGATTGCAGGAACTGGATCACTGAATTTTGTTGTGTCAGCCTGTGTGGTCACAAGTCTTCGGACGTTTCCATGTTCGTAGGGTGTTCTTTTCTTTTCCTAGGTCGGCGTGTATGTGATGGGCCACAACTTCGGCGCTGTTGAACGGATTCTAAGGAAAGAAAAATATAGTAGCTTCTTGCTACTAGTAGCGATGGCCTCCAACCTAATAGCGGTGGCCTCCATCTAGTAGCTTCTAGCTACTAGAAGCTACTAGTAACTTCTATAGAGTTGAGACCGGGACGACTTTGAGGAATCTGCTTTTCTCAAGATCACACCCACAAGGTCAGTGGGGCCTCCCATGCCACTGAAAGGCGCAAACAGGTCGCTGAATAAAGAAGCTACTGTGGCATTTTTACCCAGAAATACTTCATAGATTGAAGCAGGTTGTGCGTCGTCACACTATTGATGGGTTTTCTGGACGTTCCACCATCACAACCGGGATAGCTACTGGTCAACCCTCTCAGAGCATCCCGACACCCATCGAATGAAACAAACGAACTGAAAGAACACAAGTCCAGAGACCAACACTCGAACAAGAAGACCATTCAATCGGGTCCAATCTCCAAGCCTTCAAACCTCATTCAAGCCTTTGATGAGTTCTTGCTACCAAGACGGTCTTTGGGATTTGGAAGCCCAAGTAGTTCTTCTTGCTTTGAAAGCCTCATAGCAAGGACGCTATTAGGTGGAGGCCATCGCTGTTAGGTTGGAGGCTATTACTACTAGTAACAAGAAGTTACTTGTAGCAGTGGAAAACGCACAACCAAACCTCGTTCAACCACGAGGAGCGCCGCACGCGCAGAGAGCGCAGCCGCAGCCGAAGTCGCCGGCGCAACCAGCGCAGCCCACGAAGAGACCGCAGCCCCCGCAGAGAGCGCAGCAAGCACAAAGAGCGCAGCGCGCGCAGAGAGCGCAGCGCGCGCAGAGAGCGCAGCCGCAGCCGCGGCGGCACGCGGCTTCCTCGGAAGGCCGTGGCGGAGGGGGGGGGACTGAGCTTTTACAGCACCAAACCCGTTCTTTTCTGCCCTAAGATCCCTGAGCTGTTCACCCGTACGACACGACAAGGTGGACAAGGTGGACAAGGTGCCAGATCCCAAGCCGAAGACCAAGGAGATGAAGGCGGGGCGCGGAACCTCGCCTACCCCTCGTTGACCTCCTTGGTGCAAGGGTTTCGGGAAGGTCCCTTCTTCCTTGGTCCTTCGGTGGTGTTGGTCCAACTCTTGGTGCTTGGTCCGACTCCGGAAGACTCACATGGACCCGCTTTGGGCACCCGCTCGTGAAACGGGCCGGAAGTGGTCGGAAAGCGGCAAGCGACGTCTCGCTTCGTCCAGCGGCCGAAGTTGGTGGCGAAGTTGGGGTGGTGTCCCTGTTGACGTTCTCCTTCGCTAGGAATTGTCCATTGGATTACTC